CATATCAGAAATGAATAGCAAAAACTCAAGAGGGCTAAGCACCTCTCCCTGAAGAACCCCTCGCGTGACAGAAACCATGTTGGTAAACCCTTCATCGGTCCTAATACAAGTTGATGCTTTAGAGTAGAAGTCTTTCAAAATATTAATTATTTTCGTACTAAGTCCCAAAGAGTGAAGCTTGTTCCACAACAGTTGATGAGATACCGAAGGAAAGGCTCCCTTAAAATCAATAAAAGCAGCGTAAACAACCGATCCTGGAGAACTCAAATGAGTTTGAATAATTGATGATAAACAAAAAACATTGTCCAAACAACTTCTACCCCTCCTGAAGCCCATTTCAGATTCAGGAATAAGGTTAAGTTTATCCACCCACGTTACAAGACGATCACAAATTATTTGTGTGAAAATTTTCGCGATACAATTAACTAATGTGATAGGTCTATAGTTATCTGGAATTGACGAGTCACCTTTTTTGTAGAGCATGAATGTGGACAATTTACCCCACCCTAGCGGAACCTTTTCGGAAGCCATAATCTTATTAAAAAGGTTATTAACAAACAAAATCCAATTTTGAGGTAAGCTTTTTAAAAAATTGTAATTAATCCCATCAAATCCGGGAGCCTTTCCATATTTGCACTTCAAAAGACAACTATAAATCTCGTCAACTGTTATGCACCCATCGAGCTCAGGAACAGAATGAAATGCTGCAAAACTGTCTATGGAAGAGATAACCGAGGTCTGGGGATAACATTCTTTTAAATAATAAAACCAAGTGTCAATGTCAATATTAGATTGATGGTTAACACGAGGACGGGTAGCGTTAACAATCTTCCAGAACTGTGAAGGGGATTTACTATTATTTATTGCATTTAATCGATTAAGAGCAAACTGTTTTTTTTTAGTTTCAACATTTTTAAGTAATTATTTTTTACTTTATAATAATCAATTCTGGAAGAGTTTGAAAAGTTAGTTTTTTTGCAGCATTTCAACGCGGATAGTACTCTTTTCTTAGAATGTTTACACTCAGCATCCATCCAAGGTTTTCCTTTCAGACAATTATTCTTAGGATGTTTTGAGTACATGGATAGGTTCATAGCGACATCCCAGATCGTGGAAACAACAATTGAATTAAGATCATCTATATTACGATTCACCATAGCCACTTCCTCTCTATGTGCCATGCTATTTACAAACAAATCAGTCTTGTCGTTACAAAAAGATAATCTAATATAACTTTCATTAACCTTAGGAAAAGAAAATAACGACAAATTTAAAACTATTGGAAAGTGGTCCGAGGAAGTAGCCAAGTGCAGAACTTGTAAACTCTGAATAAAAGGGAGGGACGCAGATGAGACCCAAACCAGATCAATCACACTTGCTCCATTTGAGTTTAAAAAAGTGAATTTAGCTGGAATATCACCTATGCAACGCCCATTTAAGAGAACCAATTCATTGGATTCAAAATTATTAATGATTGTTTTTCCTTTCGAGTTTAAGACACGGTCCTCAGAAAGTCTTTCGCTAAAAAGATTGTTAATACCTTGGAAAAAGTGCGGATCTAATTGGTTTCGATCTGCGACCCTACAGTTAAAATCGCCCCCTACAATTATTGGAGTATTATTAAAATCAGAAAGAAGATTATTGATAGTAAAATTAAATGCATCTAAAAAAACTAATTAAATTCGCATCAGGAGCAATATAAATCAAACCCAAAATAAAATGAACATTATCTGATAAAAATTTAACTTTAACAAAAATTTGTGCATCCGAAGTAGAGATAATAGAAACTGAATACAGACGTGGATTATACGCGATGAGTAGATCCCCCCTTGCTCTGCCATGACTGAAGATCCTTTTTGCAGGTGACTGGACGTACTCGAAGCCACTGTTAGACAATACATTAACTGAGATAGACTCATTCCAAGTTTCACAAATACAAAGAATATCCCGCTTATTGACAAACTCCCTGATATCATGCAAGTTGCCGAGTCCATGAATGTTCCAGAAAATAACTCTTCCTATTCCCAACTTATCAAGATCAAAAACAGACGAATCCGTAAAATTTCGTTGCTATACCGGGCCATCAGTTTTAAGTTTTTTGTTCGTTAAGCGACGAGATGCGTGCGACAAATCCAATGAATTTCTAGGAGACAGAAAGCTGTCCATCGTGTTAGATCCCAGTAGATCCTTTTTTTCTTTAGTCGAACCAGACGGACGCCCCCTTTTATTATTTTTCGTACTGGAAGTACCATCAGGGGTAAGAGACACTTCCTGAACAAAATTACCCCTAGGTTGCATTACGATATCAACAGGAACAATATCCTCTGCAATCTCGATTTTATTATTAACTATTCTTGCTTTAATTCCTGTCTCACGTAACTCTTGAATTTTTTAAAATAATTGACGACGGAGTTCTCTTTCTTCAAAAGTGCGGTCGTTTGTTATAAGAAGGTTTTTATTTTTCAGCTCATTTAATTTTGAAAAAATAGTTTTTACCCAGCGCTCAGCAATAAACTTTATTATAACAGGACGTTTGCCTTTGTTCTTTCCGAGACGAAATATATCTGCTATAGCTAATCTGGAACCTGTAAACCAATATCTTTAAATAAAAGATCGATTGTTGCAAAAAGGTTACTGTTTATCGAGTCAGAGTCCTCTAAGTTAAATAAAATAATATTTTTACTACGCTGAGATTTCTCGAAGCGTGCTAAATTATTTTCCACTGAGAGTAAACGACTTTCCTGTTCATTCAGTTTCTTGACACTCGATTCTAATATATTATTATTTTCCCTTATCTCTGTCTTTAATTCCGAGTGAGAGGCTGATAGATCGCTGAGTTTGGAAAACAACTCGCTCCATCTCTTTTCGTCAGGTGTAGAGGACATCGTGACAGGAACAACAATACAATGTCTCGAAAATTAAACGAATATAATCATCGAAAAGAAACACAGAGAAAATTAAAATTTCAATAAAAATGAATTTCAATTACGAATATACAAATTCAGGTGCAACACACATATATGGCTTTTAGGTCAGAGAGCACAGTACTAAAAAGCAGTCAACAAAATAAGAAAAAATCCACAGAAATCCAATTGCAGATAACGGATTTAATTGTTTAAACAAAAGAAACAACACTTGAGCACAGATTAAAAACAATGTCTCCAAACAGTAATCCAGACACAGGTAAGTTAAAAATAAGCGAAACACTCCGACACTTGTAGAAAAAAAAATGTAATTAATTTACAAATAAAAGTACAAACACAAAGTTTCAGGAGCAGTAGAAAACACGACCGCACACTACGAGAGCTACTAAATAATTCATATTAATTAATAATTATAAAATATATTAAATTGTATTTAACAAAAATTGTAAAAAATATGTTATTTAATTTGTATTGAACGTATATAAATAATTACTCAATACAATTGTATTTTATACAAGATAATAATTAATATTGAATTAAGCTGCGAATATTAAGTCGAAAGTTGATTCAAGATTGAATCTAGACTGGACTCTTAGGCTTTGCTCATGAGGATTCAACTAGTCTTGAATCCAGCATGAGACGAGCATTGGTAACCAATCTTGAACCAATTTTGATCGACAGTGGTATAAAGGTTGCTTTCAGTCTGGGTTACCCACGCTGGGCGTTCAATCTACAATCAAGCCTCAATCCATCGTCAGCACTGGTTTTTCGCGCCTGGGAATTAATGAAAGTTAAAAAATCAAAAATTCACATTTTGGCAATAAAATTTTGCTTTCTCCACAAGGAAGCAAAATGTTCATGTAATGAACATCTGAATTTACAACTTGTTAATTATGAATTTGAAGTAGGTAAATTGAATTTTAATCTAATTATATATTAAATTATTATTTAATCTTTTATATCCGAGAAGAATTCTACATTATAGATTAATAAGCATTAGAAGACACCGTGATACGGCATTGTCTGCCGCCCCACCACAACTCAAGGGGCAATCCGACACTTATCAAATGTTGTGGTCCCGACCACTTACCGAAATTGTACTGTACCTGTTTTGCAATCTAGCAAATATTATATACACGGATACTATTGAATGAAAGATCAATAAAATTAGGAATATGAGGCATTTCATATGAGAAGACGGGGTTATGTCTCGGATTTTTCTCAAAATTCGGTAAATTATAGTGATAGTGGTGCTAAATAAGTAATTTTTAATATTTTTCGAGATATTTACAATAACAAATTTGAGCAATATTTTTTTAATACAACTTTTTTCCTACTAAAAATAGAGAAAAATGTTGTAAATGTTTTTACGCAGAAGACCTTAAACTTTTTGAAAAAAATTATTTTTTTAAAAAAATATTAATTTTTAAACAATTTGTTTAAAAAATAAAATTTATTTATAACTTTTAAACATGTTCTCCCTCATTTAGAAGCGCGAAAAAATTATGAATATTGTTTAAGTCATAATAAATCGATGGTTAAATTTTTGAGATGGCATTTTTTGTTTTCGAGATATTAATTAATTAACTAACAAAAGTTAATAAAAAATGAAATATTTTACGAACAAATAAAATTAGAGTAATTTTAAAGACACCATTAGAATGCTTATTAAAATCCACATCCAACGAGCCCTATATGAACTATTTCTGATAAACGGGTGTGAAATTAATAATTAATAATCAAAATTATTTAAATAATTAATAACATTAGAAGAAATGAAGATAAATCGTCAATTCTTTTTTTATTTTGAAGATCATCTAATTCTGTGACAAAAAAAGAATATTAAGTATTACCAAGACTCAAAAATTAATTATAAAATGTTATTTAGAAAAAGACTGAAAAATACCATGCCGAGTGGGTAGACAGCCTCCTCCAACTTATGTTGAAGGGGGTGCAGAAACATCGATTTTCAATAATCATCTGTTAATAATTTAAATTTGATAAAAATGTTATTTACACTTGTTATTTAAACCTTCAAAATATAATTTTTTTATTGAAAAAAAATAAAATTTTCAGATTAAGGTGATGCACAAGCAGTTACTTTTATTCCACAATGCAGTTTCGGCCTACTTTTCAGGAAACCAGTCGGCATTGGAAGCAACTCTGAAACAATTTAATATAAAAGTAAAGTCACCAAACACATCTTTTCCATCTTGGTTAGAGCAATAGTTTTTTAAGTGAAATATTTATTAATAATTTATTATACTTTTTAAATATTAATTTGATAATGTAAATGTTTAATTTTAAATGACAAGCACCTCGAATTAGTGTTGAAGTTGTATTTAATACAAATATAAACGTTTCGTGCGATTCGACATTAATTTCCGTTATGTACATGAGCAGATGCCTCAAAAATGTAATTGCACCTAATTGGACGTACGCTGAAACCTTTGTGTCATCTTGAAAGAATAGAAAGACATATTTTAAAATATTAATTTTTTCTTAAAGATTAAAAACTCTTAATACTATTTTTTGATAAGTCAAAAAATTAACTATGCTGTTGAAGAAAAGTCTAAAAATTAGAGTATCTGAGTTATTGCAGTACAAGAAACAATGTAATTGCGAAAATGAATTGTATGAGTAAAAAAGTGCATACCACAATGTAAGTTATCTTCAGTAAGCTAATATGAATATGAGTTCTATCTCGCAGTAAGTATGTTAATCACAATTCCGGAACAAAAATTTCAAAGTTGTATAAATTTTTAATTTCATTAAAAGCTATCCTACTAATCATTCCTTGATTAAGATTGCAACTGTTTTTCATTTTTTTTTAGTTTGAAAGAAGTAAAGGTACTTCATTTAAATTTTCTTACTCAACTTTTGACCAAACCGTTGCATTGTGAAACATAGTTAAGTAGACTTTCTTCAAGTGATAGGTTCAGTTGCATCATAAATAGATTATACTCTTTAAAAGATAAAGAAATGTGTTAGGTAAACCAAGCAGTAGTGGGACACTTTTCAATTGGAACAACAAAACCATATGAGGTAGAAACAATTTGTTTGTTATTAAACATTTTTAATATCATCATAAAAAACTTAAGCTTTTTTAAGAAAAGAAAATAGTTATTTATGATACAAGTGCGTAAAGTGAGTGATTATACGAGTGTGATGCAAATCACACGAGTATAATCAGATTTACGCACGTGTATCATACAACATTTTTTGCAACACCCACCTCTAAAGTTAAGTACTTATTATGAAGAATTCCAACTCTCTATTAGAATAATTTCGATTGTATAGAATTAAAAAAATCAATCGAAGATCAGTAAAAATATCATTAAGTAGAAGTGTATAAATTTAAAAGTAAAGTTCGTTTTTTAATTTTGTGGTTTTGTATGGTCTAAAACAATCCTTATATTATGTGAGATAAATTTCGGTGCGTAAAGTAAATTTCAGTGCGTAAAGTAATATTTCAGTGCGTAAAGTAATATTTCAGTGCGTAAAGTAAATTTCAGTGCGTAAAGTGAATCACTTTAGACACCGTTTGAAAAAGAGCTTTTTTACACACACTTTTCAATGTGTAAAATTTAACTTTAGAGGTTAGTGTTGCAAAAAACATTTTTTCTATGGTTTTTGAAGGTGGACGATTACTATCTGTTTTGGGTTACTGACTACTGTCTTTTTTACTTGTTTTTCCGCATTTTTTTTATTAAATAAAAAAATTTGTTTTTGCAAATATAATTGGTTTAGTAGTTTTGTAAAATCGTAAGGAACAATCACATGTGTAAGAAATTGAAAAAAAATCTTAATTGTATTTTTAAAACAGTGTTAATTAAAAAGATTGCCTTAGGTGGCCGTCTACTGTCTTTTTCTTATTTTTTTATGTATTTATTTACAATTTTTTTTGAGTAGTAAGAAATTTTTATTGTAAACATGATTGGTTTAATAGTTTTGCATGGAAGAATTTAAAAAAACTTAATTGCACTTTTTAAACAGTGTTAAGTGGTTAGTACCACATCTTCGTTATTTTTTCAAACATTTTTTTTATTAGGGTAAGAGGTTCGGTTGTGGGCACTTTTGATAAAAAATAAATAAATCTAATTTGACAGTGTTTGTTATCACCATACGTCCTTTTTGTGCGAATATGAAAGCAAACAGTCGCTTTTTATTTGTTCTGCAAAGATATTTATTTTTTCACACTTGTGTCGAGACACAAATGTATTTTTTCACATTTTTAAAAGTGTTACAAATCGAAGAGAATTAAAAGAAAATGTAAGTGCAATGTATATTTACACAACAAATGTATTATATTTTGTGATTTAATACTGATTGCGACCAAAATTTTTATAATCAATTTTTTTAATGAATTTTCGAAATAAGTAATTTTTTATAGCTTTAATAATGTTTTTGTACATTATTAGCCACTACTATCGGTTCAAAATGTAAAGACCCTTGTCTTTGAATGCTTATGACTCAGGTAAAAAAAATCGTATTACATTGAGACAACAAGGAGTCAGCAGCTACACTATTCCTACGTTACTAAACGAAATTGCAAAAAGCAGAAAAATTTTGTGCATCACTTATGGATTTTAGAAGATAAAAAATACATGGATTTTTACACTATTTTGACAACGGTCTACTTTTAAACCTTATAGCTTATTCAATAAAAATCCTATCAGTATGCGAAATTTTTTATATAATATTTGAACCCTTCTGAAACATAATATAAAAAAATTTTGCTTATTTCATTAACTTTTCGAGATTATTTAAAACAAAGTAAAAAGTTATCTTTTTGACGAATAAACGCACAGATTTGAAACAAATTGCAAATTGTGTAATAAAAGATTCTTTTAAGGAAATAAAAATAAAAAATTTTTCCAAAGAATTATTCATGAAAATGTTCGTTTTTTGCTTTATAACTTCCATTAAAACAAGGTGTGGATCGTGATAAACCCTTTTGTCAACGGCTGGGCTCTGAATGACAGTAGTATACTAGCGTCCCTTTTTTCACAATTTTTCTATTCTTAGTTTTTATTTACAACTTTAAGGACCTCTTTCAAGTAATTTAGCAAGGGTATCGGTAAGAAGGGACCTGCACCTTGCTTTAATAGGAGTAATAAAGCAAAAAACGAAAAACATTTTCATGAATAATTCTTTGGAAAAATTTTTTAAACAATTTTTTTTTGTTTCGTTAAAAGAATCTTTTATTACACAATTTGCAATTTGTTTCATATCTTTACGTTTATTCGTCAAAAAGATAACTTTTTAACTTTGTTTTAAATAATCTCGAAAAGTTAATGAAATAAGTGAAATTTTTTTTAATATTATGTTTCAGAAGGGTTCAAATATGATAGAAAAAATTTCGCATACTGATAGGATTTTTATTGAATAAGTTATAAGGTTTAAAAGCCCGAATAAAAATTTAAGACGGCAGATGTAAATCTTACATCGCATCTGTATAGAATTTAAGACGGCCATCTACATAGGCCTTTTGATATACAGTCTAGGTAGGGAATATATAGGCCTTTCTATATAGGTCATTTGATTTCAAACCTATGTAGAATCTATGTAACCTTTTGATGTAGATTCTACATAGGCCTTTTGACATACATTCTACATAATAAATGCATAGGCTTTTCTACATAGGCCATTTGATATCAAAACTATGTAGAATTTATGTAGGCCTTTTGATGTAGATTCTACATAGGCTTTTTGACATACATTCTAGATAATAAATGCATAGGCCTTTCTACATAGGCCATGTGATATCAAAACTATGTAGAAATTATGTAGGCCTTTAGATGTAGATTCTACATAGGCTTTCTAACATACATTCTAGGTTTGAAATGCATAGGCCTTTCTACGTAGGCCATTTGATATCAAAACTATGTAGAATTTATTTAGGCCTTTCGATGTAGGATCTGTATAGGCCTTTTAACATACATTCTATGTAGAAAAAATATCTGCATTTCTATATAGGCCTTAAAATGTAATAACTACATAGCATGTACGCAGGCTTGTTTATGTAGGATTTTTATAAGACACATGACATAGGATTGAGATTGTTTTCCTGCAGGTCATTCAATGTAGGTCGTAGGACATAACATATTTTATGTAGAATAGGTCTTTTTATATAGGTGCTTATATTAGAAATATTTTTGAGTCACTTATTTTAAAATTTCAAATTATATTAAAAATTATTTATTAAATTTATTATTTATTTATTAAATTTATTATTTATTTATTAAATTTATTATTTATTTATTAAATTATTAATTTATTATTATTATTTTATTATTATTATTAATTTATTAAATTTGGATTTATTAAAAATTACAAATTGATACTCTGCATGTTTGATATTATTGAACATTTAAGTCATTTTACGTTTTAATATTATTTAAAATAATAATTATACGTTAAAAACAAGATTTTTGTTTCATAATGACATTATATAATTGTCATAATTTTTAATGCATAATAATTATTTTATTTGTAAACAAATAATACTAATATAAAATTTTGTTATCCATTTTTAATATAAATCAATATTAATTCAATATAAAGTACTTGTGTACTTGCTGTATTTTATTGTGACTACATAGCGCTATACTTATAATAGTTTTACTGCGTTGCTTTGTAAGAGAACATCTACGCTACTCCACTTATTTCTTAACTTTGTACGGAACCTTCATAGCCTCCCTTGGTCGAGCGCGTTAAGGCGCCGCTCCCAATGGTTGTAGGCTCCCCTCCCCAGACCCAATTGCACACACAACACTATAGAGTAGAGGGCTCAAATCTCACCTACCATTGTATAGGAAAATCCCGCAAAAATATGAAAGGTACTTTTTTTTTATTGAATTTATATTGTTTAGATTATATTGAAATAAACTACTAATTTTCCTGATTTTTTAAATAATAATTTAATTATTAATTAATGAAAATATGCCTTTCAATGTAGGCTCTACGTATGTTAGCCTACGTAGATTGGATGTAGCCAAGCGTTACATTCTTGTGTAGATCCTACATCATCTGGCCTATATACAAACTAGTATAATAGTCCTACATAGGTCCTACATCTCGTGGCCTATGTACACCGTATGTAGCCAAGCGTTACATTTCTATGTAGACAGTATGTCAAAAAAAAGTCGCAGACCTATGTCGCCAGGTAGGCCAACCGTCATAGGTCCTATATAATGGCGACTTTAATTTTTATTCGGGAGTAGACGGTTGTCAAAATGGTGTAAAAATCCATGTATTTTTTATCTTTTAAAATCCATAAGTGATGCAAAAAAATTTTCTGTTTTTTGCAATTAACTATAATAATCTTGGTATTCATTCATTCATTCACTCATTCCGTCCGGACCCCTGCTGGGTTTTCGGTGACAGAGAAAAGAACAAGTTATGGAGAGAGAAAGATACTCTCTAAATTTGAATCAGCGGAATCTCGCTGATTCTCAGCTATAAGTATACCACTGATTCCACTCAGCTTATATGCACTGATGAATTAGTGGAATTTCACTGATTTTTCAGCGTATATCCGCTAATTGGTACCAGTGGTATACTTATCGCTGATTCAAATTTAGAGAGTATATCTTTATTTTGCAAATGAGAGATTCTTTTTCAATCGCCCCAGCCCAAAAAGTCAATGTTCTGGGATTGGCTTCATTCTTTGGTAAATTGTTGTCCTATATGATAGTAATAAATCCCTAAAATATAGACTCATTAAAAAAATATTTGTAGAAAGTAGAGGGGGTTGAAGTTTTGACGTTAAGGGTAACATTGTCATTTTCAAATCCGTATAACTATGACAAAAGTTAATGGATTTTAATTTATCTATAATGAATTTTAATGCATTTTTCACGTACTTTTCAAAAATGTTTACAGAAATTAAAAAAAAAAAATTTCACCCCTTTTTTTTCAAAATCAACCCTTATTTTTCGATTTTCACCCCTTCGGGAATTTTTTTTTCTTTTTTTTTATTTTCATTGGAAAGCTGAGGTTTTTTCCCATGAGTGGACTAGGCGTGGTTTTTAAAATAAAAATGAATTTTATTTACTTGAAGGTAATAAGGCTGATTAATCAGGTTGGTAAAGCCTGATATTTATTTTTATGTAGGATCGTGGTCACTTGTCAAAACTACGGGTTTTGCGTTATAATAACAAGTCAAATATTCCCTTTTATAACTTTTATTGATTAAATAATAATTATATAGTAATGATTATATAATAATAATACAAGTTTACAATTCTTTTACTTACTTTTAGCAATGAAGTCGGATAAATCGATGATTATAGCTTAGTCGTTATAATTGGTTTTGATTTGATTTGAAATAGTTCGTTTTGGTCGCACTTGTGTAACTTTAACGACTTAGATTGTTTTATAACTATTTAAAGAATTGCAATATTCTTTATTGTTATTTCTCGTCACTTGCACCTTTGACAGGAATGAATTTTATAGCAGGTGTAAGAGAAGCAACATATACTAAATTGACAAATTTAGAAAAAGAGATAATGCAGGATATCTTTAGTATTTATAGTTATAAATACGACAGTTATTTCTATTAAATTATTGATTCTAAGTGTTAATTTGCTTCTCTTGCACCTATTGGCTATCAGGAAAGAACTATGTTCTAAGTGAAAAGTCAAATTAACTTGCACCTATTGGCTATCAGGAAAGAATACAATAATTATGGCGAAAGTAAACTGAAGGGTCGCTCTACGATGTTAGAGATTGCACCGGAACTTTTGACAAGCTTTATGAAAAAAGCTCTTGTTTATATACTAGTCGATTATGCTAATTAGTGGGAGAATTGTCATATTATTGAGGAAGGGGTGATCTATAAATAGAATCACTTTCCTTATATGGTAATGATTTACATCGCATGTATGACATTGAATCTCCTTCTTTCTGAATTCTCTCTTTTATATGCTGACAATGGGCTTTTGAAGATCATATTACACTTGGATCTTCACAACCTTCACATTCTTCACGCGTATAAACAAACAAGCTCGAACTTGCTTCACATTTTGCTTACATATATCTTATTTTTAGCTTTTCAACTTTCTGAACTTTTATGGTGAAAACGAATGTCATATCTCTTTTG